CCCCATTTGATGATGTTTCTCGCCACGGTTGTTAAGTGAATCACTGCAGTTGTTAAGTGAATCTGGCTTCCCCATTGGCTTTGCTCGTCAGAAGGTCGCTAAAGGGGATCACGTGACCTGGGGACGCTGCAGCCGTCAGAAAGACGAGTCAGTGGCCAAGCGTCCGAATTCTGATCACGTGACCGTGGGGAGGTACGTATGAAAAACATTCATAAGTCACTTTTTTTCAGTGCCAGCCTAACTTTGAACGGTCCCTAAATGAACTGCTGAGGACGAAATGAACTAACTTGAGGATTACCCATATATCCATCTCTCCTGAAGCCTTTCCCTGTTCTCTAGTTACTTTCACATAATCCAAATAGCCTGACTATCCGCTTCACAACGCCGAAGCAGCACGCATTTTTCCCTTAACACTACTCCACCAGAAGAATCCGATAATGTTGTGCGGTTGTAATGCTTTGCATTCAGCAGTGGGGCCCATAAGCTAGCATTGCCCCGAAGACCCATTGTGAAAAGTTAGAAAGAAAATGGATTTTAAAAAAAAGGAAATAGCACCAAGGGGACTGCTTGGACCATGCATCCTATATTCCACGGGTGAATCCGTCAATACAGTCGTGGAACGTGAGGCAGAAGAAGAGAATAACAGAGTTGGAAGGGGCCTTGGAGGTCTTCTAGTCCAACCCCTTGCTCAGGCAGGAGATCCTAGACCGTTTCAGACAAATGGTCGTCCAATCTCTTCTTCAAAACCTCCACAACTTCTGGAGGCATCTTCTGTTCCACTGGTTGATTGTTCTCACTGTCAGGAAGCTTCTCCTTAGTTCTAGGTTGCTTCTCTCCTGCATTTGATTATTTTTTTTCCCCCTTCCTAATTCTCAGGGATGAGACAAAGGTTTTGGATCTTTCTTTCATAGTAGCATTCTCTTGGAAGTTGGTTGGTTTAACGTTCGCTGCCTCCCCACCCCCACCCCACCCTTGCTTTACTGTTGGACCCCCTAAATCCTTGTATGTTATGGCCCAGTGCTCCTTTGTGATGGGCATGTTTTGAAAACATTGGACTTAAAGCCTTGTTTTGTTTTGTTTTTAAAAAAAAATAACCCAGCACACCCTCCTTTCAAGGTGAACACGGAACTGAATTAATTAATAAGGCCGAAAATAAAATAAAAAAGCTTTGTCCTTTAGCTCACCAAGAGTTCTCCGAGGCAGCCTTTTCATTGCGGTTGCAATCTTATTCCGTTCGCCAGCGTACCTACCGTGCAATCCCGACACCGCGGGTTTCTAATCTGCTTATTTATAATTCAAAAGCTCGCCCATATATTAATGAAGCCTTAATGAGCTTTGAAAATGCCTGAATTGCCGTCAGATTATTAAAACTCCGACGGCCCCTGTAATCATACCGTTTCGAGTGGGATTTGAGGGTGCTTTTCATATTGGGGGGGGCTTTAATTCGGAGGGGGAGGCTTTGTAACAATGTTGACCTGCAATTTATTTATTGGCCTCTGAATGCCGGAGCTGGGCCAGGAGCCCCGTGTTATCTACGGAGGCAGGTGCAGAGCGGGTTGAAAGACAGTTAATTAGGATCCGCGGAAAGATATGCTAAAACGGGGGTTTTGTAACAAAGGCGGGTTCCTGGCGAAACAAGGCTGGAGCCTCTGCTTAGGTGATTTGTCGGGATCTTGCCGAAACGGAAATGAAGAGTGTGGCGCGACGTAGACCAGAAAATGGGAGAAAACAAGCTTGTGGCTGACCTGCTGGGCTGCGCCCAAGGAGAGGCCGTTAAAACATGTCTCCAGCGGAAAAGGAATGTGGACAGAAGAGGATAGCTCAGGGTTGACCTGTGGGGTCCCTGGTGCTCTCTGAACTGGGTTATTTTCTTGCAGACATTTCATTACCAAACTAGGTAACATTATCAGAGGTAAAGGAGGAGGAGAAGGAGGACTGTGGGGTCCAGGTGATCACTGAGCTTGATTCTTTACAGACCATTACTCAACAACTAAATAACATCATCAGTGCTAGAAGGGAGTGGGGTTTGTGGAGAGGAGGAGGAGGAGGAGGAGGAGGAAGACTGTGGGGTCCTTGATGCTCTCTGAGTTTGGTGGGTTTTTTTGCAGATGTTTCATTACTCAACTCTATTACAACATTTGTGCTAGTGAGTGTGACTCTCTTGCTCCCTCTTTATATTCAGTGACAATGCAACCAGTCCCTGGCACCCAATATTCAGATAAGCAGGGATTAACACTAGACAAACAGTCAAGGAGAAAACAACATTCTAATCAAGGAAGTACCCACACCTCCGCCAACAGTAACAGAGCAAGCCTCTGTACATACGCAGGGAGCAAATCCCAGCTCCCTTTTGGTACTGGTGGTGTTACCTAGTTTGTTTGTCTGGTGTTAATCCCTGCTTATCTAAATGTAGGGTCTGGATAACAGGGCGAGCTACTGAATATAAACTGGGAGAAGGTCACACTCACTAGCACTGACTAGCACTGGTTTGGTAGTGAAACATCTGCAAGAAAACAAGCAAGCTCAGAGCTACCGTATATATAAAGAGGGAACAAGCCACAACCCGTAGCGCTGATGAGATTACCTCTTTGGGCAATGAAACGTCTGCAAGGAAATCCCCAAGCTCAGAGAGCACCAAGGATCCCATGGACAAGGAATGGTTGGGGTTGAAAGCAACAGCCCCAAAGATCCCTCAAAGGGGGCACCAGTCTAAGCAGCCTTTTTTTTTTTTTTTCAAATCTCAGTTTATTATTTTTTTTTCTAGGCTGATGCATAACAATCTAGATGGAGTCCTTGCGTTTCCAATGTTATTAGTACTCTCCTGTTAGGCTAGAAGTGATGGATGGTTGCGCCCGGTGAAGTCCATGCTATATCTCTAATACCATGGAGCGCTCAAAGGTCACCGAGCTAAACAGTAATAAACCTGTAGGTTGATATACTGGGGAATAAAAATAGACAAACAATAAGCAGTGCGGTGAGCTTATATGTGGGGAATGTTCATAGCGGTTGGTGCTTAATTGATAAAGGATGGTGGTCATGCCTAGACAGGGAAAACTGACCTGTACAAACATCCTCTCCATCGTTGCGTCTTCAGTAGCGTGTTTGTGTCCCAAATAATATACCAGTGTGTGTTTAAGTAAGGAAGAAATGGAAACAGGGTTCACGTCCGTTGCCCAGGAGGGAGTGAAAGATGCCCTTTAATCCAAGATTCAAGACCAACCTCTTGATCTGGGCAAGATCAAGGAAGTGGGAATCGCACAGCAGCGAGGGAAGGGTGTTTAATGCTTGTCTTGGGGGGAAAGGTGGAATTTTGGAAGCTGAAGGAGATTTTCAACCCTTCTTTAGAGTGAGTTCATGAAAGGTGGAGTCTCAATGGAAGGGAATATTTGTATTTGTCCTTGATGCTGTCTGAGCTTGGTGGTTTTCTTGCAGACGTTTCATGACCCAACTAGGTAACATCATCAGTGCTAGTTAGGGAGCAGAGTTTGCAGGGAGGATGAGGAGGAGGAGGAGGAGGAGGAAGAGAACTGTGGGGTCCTTGGTGCTTTCTGAGCCGGCTTGTTTTCTTACATACTTACATTATCCCACTAGGTAACATCATCAGTGCTGGAAGCAAATCTCACTTCCTTCTAACACTGATGATGCTACCTAATTGGGTAGTGAAATGTCTGCAAGAAAACCACCAAGCTCACAGTCTCCCTCTCCCTCCTCCTGCCTCCTCCTCCCCATTCTCCCTCCTCCTCCTCCTCCTCTTCTCTGCAAACCCCTTCCTTTTCTAACACTGATGAAGTTACCTAATTGGGTAATGAAACGTCTGCAAGGAAACCACCGAGCTCAGAGCGCACCAAGGACCCCACAGTCTCCACGAATGATTCAAAATGCATTTTCCCGGGATTCTGTTTGACCTGGATAAATGGATCAAACAGAGTTTGAAGCACCGTGCAGGAAGGACACATCTTCATCTCCTTCATCTTCTTCATCTTCATCCCCCAAGCTGAATCGGAAGCTGGAGGAAGGGAAGCTGGTCTCACTTGCCATTTTGGAGCCAAAGGCTCGTGCTTTGTGGATGTTGAGAAGTTGGCTGTTCCCAGTAGGGAACTTGTATTTGGTTTGATATGGACACCCATGGGCCAGAAAAGGAGACATCAACACATAAGCTCGTTTGTGTGTGTGTGTGTGTGTGTGTGTGTTTGTGTGTGTGTGTGTCCTCTCCACCCAGGGATTTGCCCAGGACGACTTGCTTTCGAAACCCTACCAGAAGAAGTTAATTAGACCGGGTTCTCTCTCTCTCTTTTTTTTTGGGAGGGTTGCCGTGCATCTCCCAGCCATCTGAAGAGGTCTTGCCATTTTTCTCCTCCTTACATCTGTAATTATAATCTCAACCTTGTGTTTTGCGGTGTGGAGAAACATCTTGGCAGCCCGCCCACCCCAACCCGATTAAACGTACAAATTGTCAGCCTTGATCTGGGGGCGCTCAGATGGGACTTGCTGACAAGGCATAACTCGGGGATCTTCTCCTGGGCAGCTTGTCGTTTCTTGGCGGGAGGGGGGAGAGAGAGAGGAACCCGGGAGGGGGGGTTGCCTGCTAATAAACAGATGCTGCTGCCACCCGCCCAGATGTTTGGAGCCCTGAGACTCTGATTTGTGCAGGCAAGGCAGTAACGGAGACCAGATCAGGAGTTACCTGTCATGGAACAGCCCCCCCCCAAAAAGAGGAGATATTTCTTACTTAGCACCCAAAATGGACTCGTTTCCTTGGATATTCAGGTCTTGCATTCCTCTCCGAAATAGCACAAACGGAGAGGGCCGAGGAATTCCTGCCTTTTTCACAATACTGGCAGATTCTAAATCAGGGTTTCCTAATTTTACTTTTTCCTTCATTATCCAAAACTGCTTCTTGTAAATAAAGCCTTATAGATTGCTTCGTGGTTTTGCAACGTAGGTGTGGACATTTCACGTGGAGCCAATGGAGATCTCCTTTTTTCTTTCCTTCTCCCAAGGTCTCAGCATCCGAGGGGCGCAAGAGGAAGACCCCCCAGATCCGCAGCTCATGAGGTTGGACAATATGCTTCTCGCAGAAGGCGTCTCGGGTCCTGAGAAAGGTGGCGGATCAGCGGCGGCGGCAGCGGCGGCGGCTGCTTCGGGTGGAACTTCAGATAATTCTATTGAACACTCAGATTACCGAGCCAAATTGACGCAGATCAGACAGATCTACCACACCGAGCTGGAGAAATATGAGCAGGTTAGAGCTTGATTCTTTTCCACCTGGTTCCTCTCTGCTTTGAGGTCAGGCTCCAAAAACCGAGAAAGACACATTGAGGTTCCTCTAGCAGTTCCTAGCCTATAGACAGAATCTTGCCAGGCTATAGCAAGCTACTCGCATCATTAAATATATACTCTGAGAACTTCTAGAGAGAGCCATCTAGAGAGAGCCATCTTGGCCCTCTTTCGCCCGACCATGCTATCTAAACTTTGCTATCTCTTGGTCCTCAGGAATTCAGCACCTCCCTCCTGGGAATCCAGACTCCATTCCACCACATTTGCGGAGCTTTCCGAAGGCAGCCAATAGGAGACCAATATAAATTCATGCCATTCTAAGTTCCAAAAAACGGCATGTGAAAATCAGTCTGTAATTGAGATGCGTTAAGGTTGATATTGACCCTCAGCTGGAAGGATGGATTTAAGAGAGGCAGAACCTTGGGGTCTTGGGCAGAGATGTAGCCAATAATGCCCCCCCCAAAAATGTGGAAAACATGTACATGATAATAATAATAGGCCCTTGGGATAGACTCAATGCCAAATCCAGCCTAAACATCCAGCTAAGTGGGGTGACGAACCATAATATCACCATTGGCATTGACAAAAACCCCATTAGTCAATTGCAAATGGCAGCTTGATACGGAACAGCTTACATCCTGGGACGATGCTTTGAACACCATCAGCTGTCTATCCCAGGTCCTCGGGAAGGACAAAAATGCCAGATCCAGCCAAAATATCTGGCTGGGTCTGTGATGAACCCTAATAATAATAATAACACTCGGACACTGGTGGCATTGACAAAATCCCCATCAGTCAATTGCAAAAGGCAGCTTTATTACTCGGAACAGCTTACACCCTGCAGCTAGACCTTAAACACCCGTCAAACGACAACATCTGCCCGTCCCAGGTCCTTGGGAAGAGAGGTGGACAAAAATGCCAAATCCAGTCTGACCGATTGTGGGAGCGACTGTAACACCACTTTCCTGAGCCCTACGAGTCCCGCCTCGTGCATGACCTACATAGTGGGAGACAGGGAACATTATCTGACCTTTTCAGATATCTGGGTCAGCTGTAAATCTACCCCCCAAGAAGGGAGCTGGCTGGCCCTGATGTCTTGCTGCTTTTCTCCTGCTTGCCGCGGCTTCCTTTGAGCCCACAAGCAAAGGCCTGACGCTGCCTTTCTTGTGGCTTCAGCCCCCTCCCCACCTCCTGCCCCCTGCCTGGAGTTTGATTTTGACATTTGTTGCCGGTTAAGGGGAGGGGGCACTTTAAAGCAGCAGGGAAGGGGGGAAGATGGGGGGTGGGGAAGGGACACAACAGCTCTTTCAGGAAAGTATGTCTTGCCTTCACTTTCCCAGCGCCAGGAGAAAAATCCTTCTCTTCATAATTTACAGCCGCTATAATAGAGATGACATATTGAAAGCTATCTTCTATAATTACATTGAAATACACTTTTTTTTTTTTTTGGCGCTCGAGGCAAAAGTATTTGTAAGCATCTCGAAACTCCCAGGATAACTGGGGACCTGCCGAGCACGCAGAACGCCCAGATTCCCCTCTTTCCGAAAGGAGGGTTATTGGGGGTGTGGAGCAAGGAAGGGGAGCCCCCCAAACCAGGAGCCTTGCTGGACAAGGCAGAGGGGAGGGGGGTTTTTTATTATTTTTTGCAGGCCAGAAGGGGGAAAAAATAAAAATAAAACAGAGGCTGGACCCAACGGGCAATTTGTCATGCTAAAACCGCAGCGGGAAAATAGGGATCCTGCAATATCCAGCTGCCTTAAAGCATCACACGGCCGTCTCCGACTTTATGTCAATGCTGTACGTTTCTGCTTGTTCTCGATGCGTCCTTGCGAATCGTTCTTGGGGCGCAATCCTGCAGCAGGGGTGGAGATGACATTTACCCTAACCCTAATCCTGCCACAAGGAAAAGGGGGTCAGCCTATTCCCCAGAGCACCCAAAGGCAGGACAAGAAGCAAGGGACGGAAACCGATCCAGGAGAGAAGCAACCTGGAACTAAGGAGGAATTTCCTGGCAGTGAGAACAATTGATCAGTGGAACTCCTTGCCTCCAGAAGTTGCGGATTCTCCAACACTGGAGGTTTTTAAGAAGAGACTGGACACCCGTTTGTCTGAAATGGTATAGGCCGGGGGTCCCCGACTTGTGGGTCACGGCCCACTACCGTTTCACTGGTTCTGAACCAAAAGCAATGTGTTTGCTGCAATTCTTTATGCCAACTGCTTTCATCTGAATAAAGACACGGGAGAAAGCTTTGCCAGATGTGAGCTGGGGTGGGGGTGGGGGGAAACATCACTTTCGGTTCAGGTAGCAACTAAGTTTTTGGCCTGGAGGAAAAACAGGATGTAATTCTAGCAAGAGAGTAAAAATGAACTCGATTAGAGGAAGGGCTTCTCCCTGACTGAGTCCACACAACGTGTTAGACCACGCTGGGGCTGTTATGGTTTAGAGACGGCGGTTATTTTAGCAGGATCTGTGAACCAGAACGGTGTAGGAAGCCATAACGTGGCTGACTTTGGGTGCATTGCAGATCACTGGAACGCATCCGTTGTGTTTCTTGAACCTGGAGTGAGCATGGGGTGTGTTGTGTGCCCAAAGTACCCCTCCCTCCTCATTCTCTCCTCCTTCCACCCCCCCCTCTGCAGGCGTGCAATGAATTCACCACCCACGTGATGAACCTCCTCCGAGAGCAGAGTCGGACACGGCCCATTTCCCCCAAAGAGATCGAGAGGATGGTGGGCATCATCCACCGGAAATTCAGCTCCATCCAGATGCAGCTCAAGCAAAGCACTTGTGAAGCGGTCATGATCTTGAGATCCCGGTTCCTTGATGCCAGGTGGGTAGATCGGGTAGATCTACTGGCGGGCTGGGGTAGATCAAGAGGAGTTGTTTCTCCTAATTGTTCACAAGCAAAGCAAAGTTTTGAGAAGCTCATGGTCCTATCGCAACGGCAGAACTCAAAACCCTTCTTTCCCGAGGCCTTACTTCAACCTTCCGAGGTCAATTTTTCTCCTGCTCTAGATGGGGAATCTCCAAGCTTGGCAACTTTAAGACCTCTGGACTTCAACTCCTAGAATCCCCCAGCCAGCAGGAAAGAGCCTCGGTTTTAGTAGCCACTCCAAACTTCTGTGGTTTTTTTTTAAATCCTCTAAATGTAAATGCTTAACGGATTTTACTTAAAATTGGCTGGCTGAGGAATTTGGAGAGCTGAAGTCTGCAAGTCCTAAGGTTGCCACGTTTGGAGATCCCTGGTCCAGGAGACGATGTCATTGAGTCTCACCTGTGGGATTTCTCTCTCTCTCTCCTTTTCTTTCTTCCCTCCCTCCTTCTCCTTCTCCCTTTCCCCCTCTCTCTTTCCCTTTCCTCCTCTCCCTCCCCTCTCCCTCTCCCTTTTCCCTCCGCTGCTCTGCTCTTAGGCGAAAAAGGCGCAACTTCAGTAAACAAGCCACAGAAATCTTGAACGAGTATTTTTACTCACACCTCAGCAACCCCTACCCCAGCGAAGAAGCCAAAGAAGAGCTGGCAAAGAAGTGCAGCATCACGGTATCGCAGGTAAAACCCAACTCCTTCGGTGGGGGGAAGGGCTTGAGAAGAAGTTTGGTGATAGGTAGGTTCCCATTGTGAGAACTACACTGCGTCGCCATTCCTGAAATTAAAATTGCCCTTCCTATGTCGGTCTGCACCTTCTCTTGGCAAATGGGATGAACTGCAGACAGTCTCTGACTTCTGAATGGCCTTCAGAAGCTTCCTTAGCAGTCCTTTCTGGGTAAAATGCTACTCAGGTAGTAAACCACTCTTGACGAGTCACAGCAAGTAAACCCAGCAGTTGAAGCAGCTGCTGGTAGCCAAGTGCCTTCTCAAGTGTTGGAGAAAAGCCAGGGTTATGTCAGGGGCAAGAACTCAAGAACCAGGATAGGGTTCAAAAGCAATGCAAGCTTATTTCAGGCTACCTAAGTACAAGAACGGTCAAGGTGAATTAGCAGGTAAGAGTCAACAGATTTCAAGGGAAGGGGGGGCTGGACTTAGGTCTTTTGGGGGAGGGGCGTAGAGACTCCAGATGGATGATGTGTCTGACCTCGCCCTCAGGCTCAGCCTGGTCATCTCTGATAGATTGACTTCTGCCTCCTGTTCCATCCATTGAGGCCCAGAGCTGTGGGGCCACCACCAAGAAGGTCTGGCTGGTTGACTTAGACAAACTCTTTCAGACGTTGTCCCAAGACCAACCCAGGAACAAGGATTCAGCCTTGGCTTGGCTCGCCTACCAGGCCAACTTCTTTGCCCGTCAATCAATGGGTTAGACCAGGGGTCTCCAAACTGGGCCCTTTGATGACTTGTGGACTTCAACTCTCAGAATTCCTCAGCCAGGCGTTGTCTCTCTCTCTCTGGTTTGTCTCTCTCTGTCCCTCAATTGTCTAACACAATATCCAAGCCCAAGGGCTGTTGTACCCTTTGCTTGTAGGCCCCAGAACAGTGATTGTTCTCTGCCTGGTCCTCTTCTTCCCTTTCCTCTTCTTCCTCCCCCCCTCCCTTCCAGTGTTGTTGCAATTTCCAATGGTTGCTTCTCCTGGCCCGCCGTCTCCTAAAGACCTCCGCTTGCTTGTCCTGTATCCTTATGCAGACACTCCATAAGCTTGCTCCGAGGTTGACCCTTGATGTTTGGCTTGTCCGTGCACGGAGCCGAAAGATCCCCGTCCTCTGTCGAACGTGCGGTGGGGAGTTGCCTACCTTGGACGAGCTAAGCAACTCCAGGACGGCTAGATTCCCATCTTCTGTGCTGCGGAAGGTTTCTCTCGGCCCTCCTGGTTGACAAGGGAGCTTGCACCGAGCGCGGCTAATTAGAATTTAAAAGCCGGCCTCACGTAGGATACGATTGGCCTTTGTAAAGGAGGCCTACTCATGTGAATCACCTAATTATGTGCGAGGAAGGAAGGAATTCTCGGTGGCCTACTTGAACTCTGTCCAGCATTGTTCCTTTGTGGCTAGAGAGAGAAAGAGCAGGAGAGAGAGAGAGAGGGAAAAAAAGGTTGGGTTGTCAGCCCACTTGCCCACATGCCTCATACGGTCGTGGAAATCTGAAAGGCGGCAGCAGAAGGGAACCCCCCCCCCAAAGGATTATCTTAATGCTCCACCAAAGATCGGGATCTTATTTACAGCGTGGGCGGGCAGATCCCTGGAGAACCGATGGCCAGAATAAAAGTCGGTCCTTTCTGCTCTTTGTCTCCGGTTTTCATATTCCTGATTGTCCAGGGCGGACATCTGCGATGGAAGGCGTTGTGCCCCTCTGTAGGGAGAAGGTCTTCTTCTTGACCCAGATTATGAGTCGTTCATCGGACACCTCCAAAACGAAGTGATGTTGATGTTTTTTGGGAGGAATTTTTGGAAGCCAGTCAAAGCAAGAGAGGAGAATATTTCTAACTCAGGGTCCAACTGGGGAGGGTGGCTGCTCTCCGAACTGTGTTGTTTTCCTCCAGATATTTTATTATGCAACTGGGGGACCTCATCAGTGCTATTGAGTGTGACTTGCTCCCTCTTTACGTTCAGTCGCTCGCCCTGCAACCAGCACCCAGTATTCAGATAAGCAGAGATTAACACCAGACAAACAACCAATATCTCAATATCTCAGAGGTTGCCCCAAAGAAGAGGGAGTCAAGCTATTTTCCAAAGCATCTGAAGGCAGGACAAGAAGCAACGGATGGAAACTAATCAAGGAGAGAAGCAACCTAGAACTAAGGAGGAACTTCCTGACAGTGAGAACATTTAATCAGTGGAACAACCTGCCTCCAGAAGCGGTGAATGCTCCAACACTGGAAGTTTTTAAGAAGAGACTGGACAGCCATTTGTCCGAAATGGGATAGGGTTTCCTGCCTGAGCAGGGGGTTGGACTAGATGACCTTCAAGGTCCCTTCCAGCTTTACTATTATTATTATTATTATTATAACCAAGGAGAAAACAATACCCTAACCAAAGAACTACTGACCCCTCCAGCAAAACTGACAAGAGCAAGCCACTGTATGTAAACAGGGAGCAAATCCCACTCCCTTCTAGCACTGAAGGCGTTACCTAGTTTGGTCATGAAACGTCTGCAAGAAAACCATCAAACTCGGAGCGCCTGTAAATAAACTGGGAACAAGCCACCCTCACTAGTACTGCTGATGTTACCTAGCTGGGTAACGAAATGTCTGCAGGAAAACAACCAAGCTTAGAGAGCACCCAGGTCTCCATGGAAGGAAGTTACTCAATAGTTTGGTTGCTTCCACTCAGTAGAACCCCCCCCCCCCAAAAAAAAACTTGGAAAAAACTCTGGGTACATTTTATAGTCTATGGAAGAGGCTGCAGGGTTTCCGTTTGAGGTTTTCAGCACCCACAAGATGAGAAAGCCTTGGCTAAATCCACTGCTTTGGACTTGATCCACCCATTTTAGAGGGAAGTCTCAAAGAAACCATTCGAATCAAATCCAGTCCTGGACCGGGGAAAAATAATGGTGCATTGTTACCTTGAAGGATCAGTGAAGCTTGGATAAAAAAAGAGGTCTCATTTCGTACAGCGATAACCAGGACAGATGTAATGAAAACAAAAAAATTGGAGGCTGAGAACGTGTATTATTAATTAATCCTGCATTTTGAACAGGAGGTAACGTAGAACCACGAACGAACGTTTAGCATTGAAAGAGTCACACCTAAAGAGCATCTCAAGGTATCTCTTGTACACTTGATCAGAATTAAACCATCTTTGAGCAACCCAACAGCGATCGTTTAATTAAAAGCAAGATACGAAGCTGACAACCAAACAAGGGGAAATATAAGTTGAAGCTTTGTTTTTTTCTTTGATATTTAGAGCCCAGCATGTTATGGTAGCCATCCTTCCCGATCCAAGATCAAACAAACATGCTTTGTCGCACACATGGCGTCATTTCCCCCCCCCCAAAAAAAGTTGCGCATCTTTCTGATTTAACAATAATTTATTGCCTTTTTGAAAATTTAGCATTGCAATTAACGTGATGAATCAGGGCAAGGGTATTGTTTGAAATGTAATATACAGTTAAGCCCAATTAATTAATTGGCTTTCAGTGACTGAGAGCGGAGCGATGTTGGCTGGGCCTTGGAAACTGCGCAGATAATTTCTTTAAATGAAAAATGGGACGCCGAACAGATGTATCTATCCATCCTCTCCTCCGCCCCATAATAACACTTCCAACGTGCAGGAAGGGAGTTGAAAGCTTTGGGAATGGCTTGAGAAACGGAGAGAGCCAGCTTGCTCTGCAAATGGTGGAATCACGGATGTTGAAAGCCTCAGCGCTCTAGGCTCTGGAGTTTTGAGTTTCTTCTGCCTTGTCTGAAGGGGGGGCAGCTCCTACCTCTGTCTGGAGAAAAGGTCAAGGGGGTCCTGAGCTGTAGGACAGCGGTTAGCCTTGACACTGAGCACAACCTTGTCATCAGCCTGGCGGTGAGATTCCAGGAACTCTTTCCAAAGCTCCCTCCCCCCCTTTTTTTGTTGCAAATCCCATTTCTTGAGAGTGATGCCTTCTCCTATACGTCTGAACAGGGCCTCCGTCAAGGACGAGGGTGATTCGATTTGGACCTCTTTATTGACTTCTGCAAGCGATGGCCAAGACTTGTTATGTTTTGCATCATTTTCTATTTCTTGAAGAGAAGAAAGGCCATCTGCGAGGGATGGCAATTGGGTTAAGTCTTGGGTGTCGCTTCATCGAAGGACGCCGGGCCTTGGAGACCTTTACAAGGGACAAGAGCCTTCTTCCCTCGCATTGAAGGAGGTGGAAGGTCCATCCTTTGTTTTTAGGGTTTTTTTTAAAAGACCACTTGGTGAAATTCAGGGCCATTTTTAGATTTGAGATTTTATTCGGAGGCTGCGTAGCTGCCGTCTGGCTTCGCCACCATGGGCCCAGACATCCAAAATTCATCGAGGTTTTATTTCTTCGCTTCCAAGAGGAAACTGGTGGCTTGGTGGTATTTAAAAAATAAAAATAAAAATAAAAAAGTGGCCATCAGTCCTTTTGTTTTCATCTGAGCCTGCAAGCCCAACGCCTGGCTGTGTTTGGAGGCAGTTCAGAAGAGGGATGAACTACTAGAGGATGGAGTTAGCCCTGGCTTTGAAGATAGTGTGACCCGCCTAAATTGCACACCGTGTGCAGAGCGTGTGGTTTTTCTTGTGCACAGCAGGAAGGTGTCCACTCTTCACTCTGTCAGCTGCCTCCTCAGTTTAGTTCAGGGAATAAGGAATTGCTTAGAAGGAGAGGCTGGGATTAAAAATATAATAATAAGAAGAAGAATTGTGGATGTTTTGTGTCTTCATTTTATTTTATTTTTTAAACTGGGAGGAGGCCTGCCCTGACTGATATTCCTGGAGTTGCCTTGTGCAGGTTAAACATAATGTACGATCCACTGCGCCTTTCATTGCTTCCAATTAAACTTTGCTTGTTAGTTTAACCTCTAGGTAATCCCATCAAACAATGGAAGGCAAAGACAACACTGCCCACAGTAGCTACGGATGAGTAGCCATTAATTTTAATTGCCTTGATATTAAAGATTAAGAACTAGGGGGGACTGGCAGGGTGGAAACAATCTGATGTCGAGGAAATCTCTGCCTTCCCTAGGCTGCGGGGATATTAAAATTTTACTGTGAATTAAACAAGCCTTTATTAGTGGCAGGCATCGCCCGGATTGGTCCGGAGGTGTGCATAAACCGCCCCGGATTTCTTATATATCCACAGACAATCTGCTTGACGTATAGAGATTTTCTGCAATTATGAAACTGTTAATAAAGCCATAATTGGATTGTCCATAGTAATTATTTGCCGGGCTTTCATTAATGCTTTATTGCTTCCTGACTGACAAGGTAATATTAAGTGCAATATATGTAATACTTCAGCGGGTCGTCCTGGGAATTTGGGGGGCCAAAGGATGCACCTCGGCTTATTGCCTTCGAAGCTCGGAGGGTTTTCATTAATTTGGGGGGGGGGAGCAAAGGCCAGGGAGGGTGGCAGCCAGGACTCTCCTGCTTGCACCAGACCTCGCCTTTGTTTCAGTTGCAGCGGTTGGATGGCCTGGACAAGGGAGAGCGTTTCCCCAGCCCAAACCCTTTTAGATCCACGGAGGATTCGTAAGAACGGCCTTCCTGTTCTCCAGGGTAGAAGTGTTCCTATGGAGTCTCATGCCCCTTCCTCGACTCTTGTTCTGAAGGCTCTTTCTGAAGGTCCAGAACTGAAGAAGCCTTCCTGGATGAAAAGCGAAATGTTTTCAAAGGAAAACAAAATCAATACGACCTATCATTTGCCCTCTAATGTTGAGCTTCCTGTACTCAACCCAGTATTCTCTTTCCTTCCTTCCTTCCTTCCTTCCTTCCTTCCTTCCTTCCTTCCTTCCTTCCTTCCTTCCTTCCTTCCTTCCTTTCTTTCTTTCTCTTTCCTTCCTTCCTGCCTTCCTTCCTTCCTTCCTTTCTTTCTTTCTTTCTCTTTCCTGCCTTTCTTTCTTTCTTTCTTTCTTTCTTTCTTTCTTTCTTTCTTTCTTTCTTTCTTTCTTTCTTTCTTTCTTTCTCTTTCCTGCCTTCCTTTCTTCCTTTCTTCCTTTCTTTCTTTCTTTCTTTCTTTCTTTCTCTCCCTCTCCTTTTCCCCCTCTCTCTTTCTCTTTCTCCTCTTTCTCTCTCTCTCTTTCCTTTTCTTTTTCTCTCCCTCTCCCTCCCTCTCTTCCCCTCTCCCCTTCCAGGTATCCAACTGGTTCGGCAACAAGAGAATCAGGTACAAGAAAAACATAGGGAAGTTTCAAGAGGAAGCCAACCTGTACGCTGCAAAAACCGCCGTGACGGCAGCTCACGCCGTAGCCGCCGCGGTCCAAAATAACCAGACCAACTCGCCCACCACACCGAACTCTGGTAAGTCTCTGCCTTTTTTCTAATTTTTTTTTTTAAAAATAGCATTTGGAAAAAAGAACAAAAAAATCCAGATCTGCGAGGCAGGGAGGAAAGGGAGGCTGTACCTGCCCAAAGGCCGCCTAGACTGAAGTCAGGGCTTGTCCTCCATCATGGGAGCATCCAAGCGCCGAGGAATTGGCGAGCGGTTCAGCTCAAGGAGGTGTAAGTCCTCCGACGGACCTTCTTCAAAAATGGCTAGACTGGGACTCTTATCATCTGCAGCCGGGATGATGCTGTCGTTCCGCTCTCTCCGGAAGGCAGCCTCTTGGGAACAAACCCAGTTAAACAACCACCGCAACAACAGTATTTTTCTAGCCCACTTGCCACGGTCTCCGGGAGTTTCAGCCAGGGAGTGTGTCCTCTCTGCTTCTCCCTGGCATCCTGGAGGTCCCCAGTGCCCCCCCCCATAGCTTGAGCAGGTCCTGGTTCTTCATCCCCAGCCACTTTGGGCTTCCTCTCCTCTTCCTCTGCCTCCCCCCCCCCCGTGTCTTTCGTAAGTCTCCAGGGAGGGGGTCCGCACGCCGCCTTTGTTTGCTGCCCTCTCAGTTGATTCAGCTCCGCTAACTCTCTCGTTTTCCAGGTACTTCCAGTTCTTTTAACCTTCCTAATTCTGGGGACATGTTCATGAACATGCAGAATCTGAATGGGGAGACTTACCAGGGGTCTCAAGTTGGAGCCAATGTGCAGTCACAGGTAGGAGACAACAGAAATTAAAACAAAAACACAAAAAAAACCCGACGCCCCGCTAAATTAGGGCGTAGGTAGCAGGGTCTGGTTCGGGCTTGATTTAAAAAAAAAACACACACACAAACCAAAACAAATTGTAAAAAAAAAAACCCAAAATATATAGGGGGAAGCGAACCAAGAAGCAATCCATCTGCAAATTTCACCTTCCAACCTCCGGGCTTTGGAACAACGCAACCGGTTGACACCTCCAGGCACAATTTGGCTCGCCTTCCGGTGTTTGGCGTGCGACCAAACCCGACATTTGATCTTCCGAAGCGCCGGGTTTTGTCCCCGGTGAAAAGCTGGATGCCTTTTCCCCGCTCTCCCCCACGTCCCATTGGAAAGTTTACACACTTTGTGAATGCAGTTCGGCTCTGGCTTGGCCTGGTGGCCTCGGGTTGGGTGTGCGGTTTGGCTCTCCACCTGAAAGTTGTCGTGGATGCGGGCTGGTTTCGGCGTGGCTTTGCCCTCTGCTTGTTGTGGTGTTGGCTCGGGGTTTCCGTTTTGGCAAAGCAGAGCTGTTCTCCCTATAAAATACCTTCCCCCCCCCCTTCTTCCTGTCCTTTTCAACTTATACTTCCCCGGGCTGCAGATATGTCAAAAGATAGCCTTATCGACTCTTTGGCTAGGCAATGCAGGATCAGCTGGAACGGTTTGTTAGGAGAAGCCAAAATGAGAAATTAAGATTCTAGTCCTGTGGGTAGGAAAACCAAACTGGTTGACAAGCTGGGTCGCACAAAGCCTTTGAGATGTACTTTTGTGACACCCCTGCCCTCCCCCAGACAGCGACAGCCAAAGGACCAGAGGTGGCCCCCGGGAGGACCCATAAAACGCCCAGGTGTGATGTAGATAACAGGACAGAGTTTGTCTCTGTCTCTTTTTTTGTTTTCTAGCACACTATTTGATCCAGAAATGTTAGCCTGTCCTACTATAGGTAGTCATCAACTTACAACGGTTTGATTAGCGACGGTTCAGAGTTACGATACTGCAAAAAAAGTGACTTTGGTCCGTTTTTCACACGACCGTCGTAGCATTCCCCCATGGTCACGTGATCAAAATTCAGACGCTTGAAAATTGACTCACAGTTACGACGGTCACAGCGTCCCGGAGTCGTGTGATCCCCTTTTGCGACTTTCTGACAAGAAAAATCCATGGGGAAGCCAGATTCGCTTAACGACCGTGTTACTAACTTAACAGCTGCAGGGATGTACTTAACGGTGGCAAGGAAGGTTGTAAAATGGCTCTTCTTTCTGCTCAAACTCCCTATGGTTGTTAAGTGAATCACACAAGTTTCGAAGTGAATCACAAGGTGGCTAGGTGAATCTGGATTTCCCCCTTGTTGGGAGCCGGCTGCGTAGGTCCCAAATGACCTCGGGACCCTGCAACCGTCATAAGTACATGTCAGTTGCCAAGCGCCCAAATTTCGATCATGTGACCGCGGGAAAGGCTGCAACGGTCGTAAGTGCAAGGAGCGGTCGTAAGTCCCTTTCCCCAGTGCCCTGGTAACTCTGAACCTTTGCTGAGAGAACGGACTAGCGGTCTGGCTTTGTGGGTGATTTCAGACGCTTCAGGTAAGACCTACCTGATCCCTTTCAGCCTTGGGGGGGGGCAAAAAGAGAAGGAGGCACAGGGAGAAGATAAGAGGCTCCACCTCCTTTGAGCGCTGGTCACACCCACCCTTCGCCTCAGCCCCGCCCATCTGGTCCTCTCCATCCTGGTGCTCCAGAAGGGATGAGAAACCCTTCAGAAGAAAGTCTGTTCCCCAAGATGGAGTCTGACGCAGGTCCCCGTCTTGATCCGTCACCGTTCTTTCTCCAGGAACCTTGGAGAGACAGACACAACTCACCCCATTTCCGTTCTCCGTCTCAAAAATAGCTCTGCATTGTTAACTCGGGTTTGTGTGTGTGTGTGTGTGCGAGAAGGTCACCGGTGGGTACGTCAACACCTTCTCCTTCCTTGTGTTTTTTTTTTCTCTTTTTTTTTTCGCTGCAGGTGGATACCCTGCGTCATGTTATCAATCAGACGGGAGGATACAGTGACGGTTTGGGAGGAAATTCACTGTACAGTCCACATAATTTAAATGTGAGTCCTGTTTATGGGGGGGATGACCCTTTGGGCCAGGGCTGGGTGGAGTCAACACATGCTCGCTTCCTTCTGGCCACAACAGATCCGGGCGCCACAACAGCGGGACTGGACTCTCCCAATAAAGAGTATTTATTAATGTTGGGTTGAAATCTTAACTTTGGGCGGTGGGGCGGGGGAGGAGAAGAAGCAGCTTGATTGTAAAAAAAGATGTCGAGACTCTGGGAAAAAGTGCAGAGAAGAGCAACAAAGATGATTAGGGGACTGGAGGTTAAAACGTACGAAGAACGGTTGCAGGAATTGGGTAGGGCTAGTCTAATGAAAAGAAAGACCAGGGGTTGACATGATAGCAGTCTTCCAATATTTGAGGGGCTGTCACAAAGAAGAGGGGGGCTCAACCTATTCTCCAAAGCCCCTGAAGGCAGGACAAGAAGCAACGGATGGAAACTCGTCAAGGAGAGAAGCAACTTGGAACTAAGGAGGAATTTCATGACAGTGGGAACAATGGATCAGTGGAACAGCTTGCCTTCAGAAGTTGTGGGTGCTCCATCACTGGAGGCCTTTAAGAAGAGATTGGACAGCCATTTGTCTGAAATGGTCTAGGGTCTCCTGCTCCAGCAGAGGTTTGGAGTAGAAAGTCCCTTCCAACTCTGTTATTTTGGATGTCACAGAAGCTCAGAAGTCTCTTGGACCACAGATCGTGCCGGATCTCCACACTCGTTTTTGACCTCCTTGTCCAAAGACAAATTCTCCCCTCCTTCTCCTTCACTTTGCCTTCTTCTCAGTCAGAAAAAGCCCTTTTGATCCATGGATAGAAAAACCAACTCTGTATCTTTGCTGGAGCATTAACATAAGCAGGGATTTCCTCTCTCCTTCAATAGAAGTTTCCAAGTTCATTTTTTTTCCTCCCATCCCATCAAACTCCGAAAAGAAAGGTCAGGGGGAAAAAACAAAGAGAGAGAGAGAGAGAGAAATGTCCAGCCCATTTCAGGAGCTCTGGAGCTAATCCCTGTAATTAAACCCACCCGAGTTTAATTTTAACGAGTCGGCCTCACCTGGAGAAGGAGAAGGACATGGACGGAGACCTGGAGAACGCTGTAGGAACGCAATCCGAAGGGCAGGTTGGTTGCGTCTTGACGTAGAAAGCTCCCAGGAGGAATTTCTCTGGCCTGGTTTTCTGCAGCTGAGGTCAGCTTGTCCTTCGCTGTGGCGGTAATGAATCCGTTCTTGTCGCCATTTTGTGGGAAGCTGTCACTTTGGGAAGAAAGGTTATCTCTCCTCGTTATTGATAAAGCAAAAGGAGATGAGACTGAACGGCGGATTGGGGAGGCACTGTCAGACCGGGACCATTAAAGACTTCCTGCAGCAGTGTTAATCCTGCACAAGGTTTTGAAACACACCCACACAAATACGCAAACACACATACAGAGGCATTCATACCCCCCACGAATCTCCTTTTCCAGTGGGAAAAAAAATAAAGAGGGTCACATCGGAAACTGCGGGCCATCGTTTGCCTTTATGGAGGACCAGCTACACAGGCTGCATTTCATTCTTTGTGGGTTGTTTACCAATTGTGATCGCCTTGTTACCCGATTGTAACACCTCTAGGAAACTTTCGTCCCTAGCAAACACCCTCAAGAACCACAGTGAAATTCAGCATTATAGCACCCTATAACCAATAGCCCTCTCTGTTGGTCATCAGTAGCTCTGAACTTGTTTTCTTGCAGATGTTTCATGACCCAACTAGGGAACGTCATCAGTGCTAGTGGCTTGCTCCCTGTTTATATTTAGTAGCTCTGAGCTGGGTTTGTTTTCTCGCAGACGTTTCATGACCCAGCTAGGTCACATCATCAGTGCCCGAGTAGTAGGGTGACATGCAGCCATTGGTTATCCCTGTTCTAAATTTGGGGGTCTGGTGACATTGGATGGAGCCTGCTAAAATCAGAATTCCAAAGAGCAGGAGTAGGTAGCATCTTCAGTAGAATTCTGCATCTGAGCGATATTAGGGAATATTTTCCCTTGTTCCTCTCCTCCTCCTCCTCCTCCTCCTCCTCCTCCTCCTCATTTTTTTTTCTCCCTTCTTTCCTGCTTCCCAGTTGCCGGTGGAGTAAATATTAATGATTTTCAAAGTGATTGAAGACATTCACTGGAGAGGGAGGTTGGGGAAAATCCCATTAAACACTCAAATCTTTCTCTCTCTTTTTTTCCCCCTCCTCCTCCTTCTCCACCCCCCCCCCTCTCCACCACCCCTGGAAATGTCAAATCTTTCTTTTGGGTTTTTTTATAAATAACACATAATCACCCACAACAAAGCATATAAAGAGCCTTTTAGTTGCTGTTTCTCTCCCCCCCCTTTTTTTTTCATTTAAGTGTTTTGAAATGCTTCAGAGAATTTGCGATATCCTTATCAGCGTGATAAAATATGAAAGCTGTTGATAGCTAGCAGCGTTTTTTGGTGTGTGTGTGTGTGTGTGTGTGTGTGTTTTGCCGGATGTGAATTCCATCTTGGCTGATGAGGTCTGATAAGGCACCTCTGTATTATACAGTCCATAATCTTCAACCACCAATGTAAGGATTAATTTATTTGGGGCAGGGAGGGAGGGAGAAGGAGGGTAAAGAAATCCCAGCTGACAATTTCTCTCCCAGCTGCCAAGCCGAGTAAAAATATTGTACATTTGTGTTTATGAATTTGGATAAAGAGGGTATGATGTTCACTTCGGATGGAATATCTTTAGACGTGAATCTGCAGGCTCTTTTTTTTTCTTCTTCTTCTCATCTCTTAGGGAGATTTTTGCTGCCGTACAGGAATTAAAAAATAATAATGTCTGAATTGATTGGAAAACACACACACACACCGTGCTGATTTATTTTAAACTTTGCCAGTTGAGAGACACGGAAAAACCGTTAGATTCCAATTGCTGTTTTGTTTTTTCACCCTAACACATTGTTTTGTTTTCCAAAATGCACATTTTACCTTTCCTATCTGGTTTTTCAGCCCCACAATTCTTGTACAATCACAATTTTATTTTCTTATTTCCTTATTAAACAAATGTATACTGTAGAGCCGTCCAACTCTCATACAGGTGACTCCGGCTGGCTTAAACCTTTTTTTAAAAACAAATCCATCATAAAATAAAACTGTTCAAAAGGGGAGGGAAAAAAAACCCCTATCCCAACCCCAATGGCAGCAACACTACACTGAAATTATAGCCACTCGACTGCCTCCATTTCCATTTGTGTTCCTTGGGCCTGCTGACGAAGCCGTGTTTTTAGGGCTTCCTGAAATTAAATTTAAATTTAGGGTTTAATTTCCTGCTGGTTGCAAATCTCTTTGCCTCTGCTTGGAGGCTCGGAAAGGGGAGCCCATTAAAAAGCCAGGCTCCTGGAGGGCTGGATGGAGAGTGCCTAACTAGGGGATATCATCTACCTAGAATGGATGGAAAGAAGGAGACAAGGAAAAGAAAGGAAAGGAAAAGGGAGAGGAAGGGAAGGAACAAGGCTGGAAGGAGACAAGCAAGGAAAGAAGGAGACAGTAGGGAGATGGATGGATGGATGGATGGATGGATGGATGGATGGATGGATGGATGGATGGATGGATGGAAGGAAGGAAGGAAGGAAGGAAGGAGACAGAGCCATAATCCTAGATGTAACTCAAAAAGGTTACATTTCAAGCAGGTCACCCATCCTTCACTTCTCTCCTTTTCCTGCTGACATTTCAAACCATGGTCCACGGGTGGAACCTGCTGGAGAAAGTGGCCACCAGCTCCGTTCAGGTCAGAGGCTGCTCTGCTCTCCTGGTTGCCGAGCCAGGATCGGGCCCTGAGGTGATGCCAAGGGTTGCAAGTTGGTCTGCCTGGTTCCAACCCAGCTTTGCCCCTGTCGCTTCCACTGAGCATCTCCCTCGGCCTGGGCAGCCCACACCGCCTGGTTTTCAGACTGACATAAAAATATGGAATGACAAGTTGTCCTTGGCAGCGGAGATCCGATCCGACGTTGATTCCAGCAATTGCTTCAACGGGCCGAGACGGGAGGAACGAGGATGCAGATCTGAGGCGCTGCGGGGCCAGCAACAGGCCTCGGGAGAAAAAAATTGGGATTCTCTCGATGGGTAATTGGACAATAGACCCAGGAGTTTTTCTGCTTCCTGCCCTGCCTGATCTTTGCTCCGCCGTCGTTGCACTTGGAGGGAGACTCGGCCCTTGTCTCCGCCAGCTTCTAAGTGGCTCTGACAGGTGCCCAGAAGGGGACTTTTTAAAAACGAAATTAAGATCCAGCCGTGTGAAGCGTTTCCCTCCCTGCCTCTTGTGCGACACGAGGTGCTTTCAGAAAGTGGCTCCTTTGCTGGAAGGCTTCAGGGTCAGCTTGCGCTGCTGTCAAACTGGGCATCGGGCTTCAGACGTAGCTGGCCCGATGGAAGAGGGCAGGGGAGGGGAGGGGAATGGCTGAACACCTTGTCTGGTGGCATGGATCAGATTGGGGGGGAAAGGGGGAGAGACATACTGCCTGGAACAATCTTANTTTTTGCTGCCGTACAGGAATTAAAAAATAATAATGTCTGAATTGATTGGAAAACACACACACACACCGTGCTGATTTATTTTAAACTTTGCCAGTTGAGAGACACGGAAAAACCGTTAGATTCCAATTGCTGTTTTGTTTTTTCACCCTAACACATTGTTTTGTTTTCCAAAATGCACATTTTACCTTTCCTATCTGGCTTTTTCAGCCCCACGATTCTTGTACAATCACAATTTTATTTTATTATTTACTTATTAAACAAATGTATATTGTAGAGCCGTCCAACTCTCATACAGGTGACTCCGGCTGGCTTAAACCTTTTTTTAAAAAAAAATCCATCATAAAATAAAACTGTTCAAAAGGGGAGGAAAAAAAAACCCCTATTCCCAACCCCAATGGCAGCAACACTACACTGAAATTATAGCCACTCGACTGCCTCCATTTCCATTTGTGTTCCTTGGGCCTGCTGACGAAGCCGTGTTTTTAGGGCTTCCTGAAATTAAATTTAAATTTAGGGTTTAATTTCCTGCTGGTTGCAAATCTCTTTGCCTCTGCTTGGAGGCTCGGAAAGGGGAGCCCATTAAAAAGCCAGGCTCCTGGAGGGCTGGATGGAGAGTGCCTAACTAGGGGATATCATCTACCTAGAATGGATGGAAGGAAGGAGACCAGGAAAGGAAAGGAACAAGGCTGGAAGGAGACAAGCAAGGAAAGAAAGAGACAGAAGGGAGATGGATGGATGGATGGATGGGAGGAAGGAAGGAAGGAGACAGAGCCATAATCCTAGATGTAACTCGAAAAGGTTACATTTCAAGCAGGTCACCCATCCTTCACTTCTCTCCTTTTCCTGCTGACATTTCAAGCCATGGTCCACGGGTGGAACCTGCTGGAGAAAGTGGCCACCAGCTCCGTTCAGGTCAGAGGCTGCTCTGCTCTCCTGGTTGCCGAGCCAGGATCGGGCCCTGAGGTGATGCCAAGGGTTGCAAGTTGGTCTGCCTGGTTTCAACCCAGCTTTGCCCCTGTCGCTTCCACTGAGCATCTCCCTCGGCCTGGGCAGCCCACACCGCCTGGTTTTCAGACTGACATAAAAATATGGAATGACAAGTTGTCCTTGGCAGCGGAGATCCGATCTGACGTTGATTCCAGCAATTGCTTCAACGGGCCGAGACGGGAGGAACGAGGATGCAGATCTGAGGCGCTGCGGGGCCAGCAACAGGCCTCGGGAGAAAAAAATTGGGATTCTCTCGATGGGTAATTGGACAATAGACCCAGGAGTTTTTCTGCTTCCTGCCCTTCCTGATCTTTGCTCCGCCGTCGTTGCACTTGGAGGGAGACTCGGCCCTTGTCTCCGCCAGCTTCTAAGTGGCTCTGACAGGTGCCCAGAAGGGGACTTCTTAAAAACGAAATTAAGATCCAGCCGTGTGAAGCGTTTCCCTCCCTGCCTCTTGTGCGACACGAGGCGCTTTCAGAAAGTGGCTCCTTTGCTGGAAGGCTTCAGGGTCAGCTTGCGCTGCTGTCAAACTGGGCATCGGGCTTCAGACGTAGCTGGCCCGATGGAAGAGGGCAGGGGAGGGGAGGGGAATGGCTGAACACCTTGTCTGGTGGCATGGATCAGATTGGGGGGGAAAGGGGGAGAGACATACTGCCTGGAACAATCTTAAAGGATAGGAGAGAAAACTTGGCTCTCATCTTCCTTTTACCAAATCTGTCCGCAGGGTGCAGGATTGGCAGTTATTCTGATGAGCCCTTCCTTCCTTCCTTCCTTCCTTCCTTCCTTCCTTCCTTCCTTCCTTCCTTCCTTCCTTCCTCCCTCCCTTCCTTCCTTCCTTCCTTCCTTCCTTCCCCTCCTGCAACAAAACAACACAGCTCAGAGCTACTGCGTATAAACAGGGCATGTCCCATTCCTTCCTAGCACTGATGCTGTTACCTAGCTGGGTAATGAAATGTCTGCAAAAAACCACACCCAGCTCAGAGAGCACCAAAGACCCTACAGACTTTGCTTTGTTTTATTTCTAAGGAGAAGAAAATTTTGGTAAAACACTCAAAGAAGATTGGACCTTTTTGACTCCACTGGTTAATTGTTCTCACTGTCAAGAGATTTCTCCTTAGTTCCAGGTCGCTTCTCTCCTTGATTAGTTTCCACCTGTTGCTTCTTGTCCTGCCTTCTTCTGGTGCTTTGGAGAATAGCTTGACTCCCTCTCCTTTGTGGCAACCCCTGAGATACTGGAAGACTGCTATCGTGTCACCCTTAACCCTTCTTTTCATTAAACTAGACATTACCCAGTTCCTTGTGAGTTGCCAAGGATTCCCGGAGTGAGGTCACATCGGTTCTCCTGACTCCGTTTCTTTCTTTTTTTTTCCTTTCTCCCAGGCAAATGGAGGCTGGCAGGATGCGACCACTCCATCTTCGGTGACTTCTCCAACAGAAGGCCCGGGAAGCGTGCACTCCGATACCTCTAACTAATCTCGCAACAAGTCCTTCCTCTCTCCCCCACCCTCTCCCCCTTCTTGCCCCGCAATTCGCTGAGATGCCTTCTCCGTTCATTCGAAATCCCAGAAGGAAAAGAAAGACGCAAAAAGAAAGAAAGAAAAAAACCCAAAAGAAGTGGGTTGATCTCGTTTTGTGTTGTTGATATTTAAAAAAAAAAGAAAAGGTGGTGTGTGTTTTTTTTTAAGGAAGGTCTGATTTTAAACCTTTGTACTTCAATCTCACCGAGGGGTGCACACTCGCTCCGTATGGAGGAAAAGCAAAACGAAACGAAAACAACCGAGCACTTTATCCAGCTGGGGGCCAAGATGGCGCGTTCTGTCTGTCATATTCTCCAGCGGATTCTTCAGAGATGGCCACCTCGTCGTTGGCTTCTTGGCTTGAAGAGGTCATCGAAGACTTTATTCTTACGAATACATTCAAGTATCGGCACCAGACTGAGCTTGTGAGAGGGGGAGGGAAGAGCTGGGGAGACCTTCACCCCCACCAAATTTCCACCGATCCCCGGAAGGGAGTTGCCCAACCTTAGTGGTGTCCGGCTTTTCAGTGCAGGCCGAAACTCTTTCTTTCTCAACCCTTCCTTGGTCTCCTGCTGATTTTTGTCGGGGGTCCCTCCGACAAACCGAGGGGGCGTCTTCTTCCTTTTGAACCTTCACAAACAGCACAGTGCCTCTTCTCCTCCTCCTAGTCCGTTGTCCGGCACAGACAATCCGTGCGAGGCGGAGACGCTGGCTTTTGATGTTTGCAAATATATATATATCTATACATATATATATATATAAACCCGGTTGCCAAGTTTTGACACGTCGCGTACCGAGTTGCATCCGCCGGATTTTGGCCATCCCTCCTTCGTGTTGGCCAAAGGCCGAACGGCCGCCATTCTCTGGACTGCTGTATATAGTGTAGCAAAAAAGAATATTTATACATCTCACCAATCAAAACACAGCTTTATTACCTCATGCGAACTCATGACAAACCAATAGAATCATTCTTTAGCTTAGAGTGCTCACTACTACCTCTGAACCAGCCTTCGCCAACCTGGAGCTCTCCAGATGTGTAGACCGATAAGCCTCCACCATCACTGGTCAGCCGTGTCTTCTGTCCGGGGCTGATGGGAATTGTAGTCCAACACACCCAGAGGGTGCTGGGTTGAGGAAGTCTGCTCTAAACTACTCACGCTGTACTTTTCTTTCCCCCCCCCTTCCTCCTTAATCTCTTCCCTCTTTTATTTTTGATTGTTTAATTTTTTTTTAACCATCTTGTAACCGACTCTTTTGGTTCTTCCTCCATGTACTTGTACATTGTAATCTTTTAAATAAGAAGGAAAAAAAACGTGTTTTTTTTTTTAAAAAAAAAGGGAAAAAAATTATCCAGGTTGCGTTTGTGACTTTTGAAAAATAAAAAAAACTGATTCTATATATAAATATAAATATATATATATATATATTAAAACAAAAAACAAAAAAACCCGGACATCTGAAAGCTTTGAAATAGAAATTTTGAGTTCGACGCTAAACAGTCAAACTGTTTGTAAATACGGAGAAGCATTTTGAATGTTTTTTCATCCTGTTGCTATCTTTATTCACGCGAAAGAAAAAGAGAGAGAGAGAGAAAAAACTGAAACCGATAATGGATTGTAAAGCAGACCGTTCTTGATATTCAGTATATTTCACCCTGTAATAATTAGGGAAATGGGTGGGTGGGCGCCCTTTATTATTTTTTCTTTCTTTCCTTCTTTCTTTCCTTTTTTTCTCTTTTATATAGTATGTGATTCTGAAGCTGATTGGCTCGATTTGAGAAAAAAAAAAGTGGCAGTGATTCTAATGTATTAAACCGTTTGGTGTTGCTTTCTAACTGGATTACACCCTGAACTGAAGTCTTCCTCGTGGTAGTTCTATGTAGTCTGGAACCATGAATAAAACCTTTTTCCTTTCATGAGCTCAAACGTGGATGCGATTTCTTCTCCCCGTATGAGGGAGTTGGCTATCCATAGGTCAGGTTGGAGAGACGGAGGCTGGAGAGTCTTCCAAAGCTCATAAGGGGCCCTAGCTAGCTTCCACCTCCCTGATGAATCACGTTGGCTAAAGAAGTTGAGCTTTGGAGACTTCTAAAGGTCAGAAAGGCCCTGGCTAGTTCCCACCATCCCGACAATAAGCCATGTTGGCTAAAGTAGATAGGTTTTGGAGTCTTCCAAAGTTCACAAGTCTTTTGGCTAGCTCCCATCATCCCTGACAAATAAATTGTGTTGGCTATTATAGATGGGCTTTGGAGACTTCAAAATTTCAGAAAGTCCCTGGCTTTCCTCCCATCCTCCTAACAATAAGCCATGTTGGCTAAAATAGATGTTGCTGGTTCTAGATATGCTTTAAAGACTTTCAATTAGGTGAGAGTAACTAGTCAAGCTTGGTTGATCCACAAGCTAAGAGGATTGGTGATGGTGGTGATGAAGATGGTGATGGTGATGGAGTTTAGAAGGCAACTCCTCAACAATTCATGTGACTCGGCTAGTCTGAGGGCTTGAGAAGACTTCATAGAAGAAAGCAGGTCCTATTTCTTAGATTCGTTATTTCCTACCTTCGTAACTGCCATCGTTTTAAGACCTTCAAAGCAACCTACTTGGAACTATTGCGGTGTTTCAACCAATCAATTTTGCTTGTGTCTAACCCAGCATGTATTTTGGGTTGCTTACCCCCTTCAACCTACTCTACTCCCGTTCTACAGTCTCTTGCAGGTTCCTTGAAAAAAAGAACTCCACTCTGTTTAAATGATGTCGCCTCTCCTTGAAAAGAAGGATACAAATGCATCTGCTCGGAGGTTTGAAATTGCCCAGAACCTGGAGGAGTGCCTGCAAAATCCATTAGCCCAATACCAGTGCATTGACTTGAGTCAAGCAGGCTCCCTGGGAGAAGAATGCGTTCCTCCCAAGTCTTCTCATATCAAAGCCTCAGTCTAAAATTTCAATCTAAAACATTCTCCCCTGGCAAGGTGACTTTCCAGGTGTGCAAACGTGATGTGAGAAGGAACACTGTCCTGCACTTCTCTTTTGTGGTCTCTCACATAAAATTATAGTGAGAAGGGAAGGAAGGAAGGAAGGGGCTCATCAGAATAACTGCCAACTCTGGACCATGCAAACAGATTTGGTAGAAGGAAAGAAGACAAGAATCGTTGCAAAATGGGGCAAAACTCTCTTCCCGACTGCCTCGCTTAGCAACAGAAATTTTGGGGGCTCAGCTGTGGCTGTAAGTCAAGGACAACCTGCAAAAGGGATGGTTAGATCTCCAGCAGGCTATTTTGAGGTGGACTTCCTTGTACTCGGTGACCTGCATACAAGGCATTGCCGGCTTCTGATTAATGAGACAAATGAAAGGAAGGTCTTTGTTCCTTCAACAGTCTGGGAGGGAAACCACTGCCTTGAACCCTTAGCTATTTAGAGACGGGACATCAAAACAGGAAGAGGACTCCGAGGTGAAGCCTCACCCCTGGGAAGAACCGTTTCCTACGGTGTCTTGTGAGTCACAGAAAGGTCACTCCCTACATCTTCAATTATGCCAATGGAGACCTTTCTAATGTACCTCCATCTTATACAGGTAGTCCTCAACTTGCCACTCTACAATTGAGAGCAAAATTTCTGTCGTTAGGGGAGACGTTTCTTAAGTGCATTTTGCCCCGCTTTACAACCTTTCTGGCCTCAGTTGTTAAGGGAATCACTGCAGTTGTTAAGATAGTAACCCAGTTGTTAAGTGAATCTGGCTTCCTCATTGACTTTGCTTGTCAGAAGGTTGCAAAAGGGGATCACGTGACCCCGGGGACACGGCGACGGTCATAACTATGAACCAGTTGCCCAGTCGCTGGATTTTGATCACGTGACCCTGGGGATGCTGGAAAGGTCATAAATGGGGAAACGGTCATAAGTCACGTTTTCCAGTGGCGTTGTAATTTTGCACGGCCACCAAACAAGTGGTTGTAAGTCGAGGATTACTTGTACTTTTTCATGAGTTAGGAGACTAGTTGCTAGTCTTTGAGATTCCAAGCCTTGGGTCTCTTCCATCATGGATCATTGACTTTCTCTAGCCTGGACCCTTTCTTCTGTTGATCACGCCATCCATAATTCCATTCTCTCGAGCAAAAAAGGAAAAGAAAAAAGAAAACAGTAGAGGGAGGAATAACGAGAAGACCTCAAAGCAGCCCATGCCTCATTTTCCAAATGGATGCACTGCAACTGCTCGCCCCCATTAATTAGAATAATGCTTATTATAATCACGAGCAGTAAGATATCCTAATGTATATTTATGCATCCTAAATAATATTCCCAAAATGGCGGGCTTCAGGTATGGGAGGGGATGGAATTAAAAAAAAATAAAAAATAACACAATGCAGATGGAACTTAATTTGCGAGATCATCCAAACGGGAAGCACACCCAGAAGTACTAATTCTGTCGTGAATAAAGGGGAAGGAAGGAAGAAAGGAAGGAAGGTAATCTACTGGATCCCCTGCATGGATTGCCCTTGTGATTATGTAGGACAGACGGGGAAGAAGATAACCACCAGATTGCAAGAACACAAGCGAGCAGTTAGACGAGGAAACCCGAACTTATTGGTAGCCTCACATTGCAATAAATGACATACATTCAATTTTGTAGCTACTAAGATTGTTGGACGAGCAGGCACAAAAACAGCCAGGGAGGTGATTAAAGCCTGGGAAACAGGCCCCTTGTCAATCAACAGGAGTGCAGATCTAACCCCAGCTTATCAAGGACTTATCAAGGACTTAGGAGGCGGGGCCTTGGCAGCTTATCAAGGACTTAGGAGGCGGGGCCTTGGCAGCACAAGGAAACAACAGCCAACAATAGCCAGCCATCAACACCCTAACCTACATCTTGAAAGCTACACACCACAACCACCATATAAACAACACACAGAGAACAGCCCAAAGCACCCAGAGAAGTTCCCTGAGGATGGCCTCCGGCATGGATCCAGAAGCTCGGAAGATAAAGTCCCTGACT